GAGAAGGCGGAGGGGAGGCGCCGCCGGGGTCAAGCTGCTGACCGCCCGGCGAGAGCTTCTCGGAGGCTGGGTCAGAGTGGAAGCTCCGCAGCGTTTGCTTCTTGCTTTGTGCCCCCTCCCATGTCCTCATTACCTAAGTAAAATATCTATCTACTAGACTCAAAATACACTGACAAACAAAATAGACCCAGAGACACTGAGGCATGCAACAGATTGTCCTGTATCAGAGGAAAGAGGGAAGGAGTGTGGAGGCTGGGGGTTGGGGGTGGGAAGAGATTCACCAAAGAATTTGTATGCATATATGCATAACCTAAGGACAAGACAGTTATGGGGTGAAGGTCTGGAGAGGGGGCTAGAGCAGGATGGAGGGGGTCAATGGGGGAAAAATGGGACACCTGTTATACTTTCAACAATAAAGATAAAAAAAAAAATAAAAAAGAATTAAAGACCCCCCCCCAATCTATCTACCTACCAGATGGAGGGGCCATCAGCCCACACCTTCCTGCTGTACCCAGGTGTGGGAGCTGCTCCTAAGGAGGTCTGGACGGAGAGAAGAGTGCCTGCAGTGCTCCCTCACTCGCCACCATCTGCTTCCCACTTTCAGAAATAATTCCTTTTCAGGAGACTTGTTATTCTTTTAACATCAGGGTGTAAGAGGTTTATTTCAAATGACCTCAAGGCGTGTATCACACCAGTGAGTGGTAAGAAGGGAACAGACAATTACTAAGCACCAACTGTGTTTTTGTCACTGAACTATAAGTTTTCTGAGGTTATTTATTATTATTATTATTATTTTTTAAATTGTGCTAAAATACCCGGAACATAAAATTTACCATCTTAACCATTTTTAGGTGCGTGCTCAGTGGCATTAAATGCATTCACATTGTCAGGCAGCCATCACCACTATCCACCCACAGAACTTTTTCATCTTGCCCAACTGAAACTCTGTCTCCACTAAACAACGATTGTCCATTTCCCCTTCCCCTCGGCCCCAACAACCACCATCCTATTTTTTGCCTCTGAATTTGACTACTCTAGGTGTCTCATATAAGTGCAATCATACAGTATTTGCCCTTTCATATGATTTATTTCACTTAGCATAACGACTTCAAAGTTCATCCATATTGTGACAGGATCCCCCCCCCTTTTTAAAGCTGAATAATTTTTATTGTATGTCTATGCATTTTATTTATCCATTCTTCTGTCAATAGGCATTTGGGTGTCTTCCACATTTTGGCTATTGTGAATAGTGCTGCTAGGTAAGGTTATAGTATTTTAACCATACAACAGCTTAGTGATTTAGGGCTCATTAAACTCATATTACAGGAGAAGCCACTGAGGCTGAATGGAGTGAAGTGACTTGCTTGAAATGACATAGTAAACGTAGGTGCACTGGGCTAACGCCCCAAGGAAGACCCTCTTTTAGTGATAGCGCGGAGCTCACAGGCTGCCCTGTCCAAGCAGAGGCTGTAGGGGCAGTTGGTAGGGTTGTGGTCATAAGATATAGAGGAGGAAGGAGAAAAGAGGAATGGTGGGGAGGCTAGAATAATGCTCAGTTCCTTTCAACTCAGACATTCTGCCTCTTTTCCTTTTCAATACCTATAAAATTTAAGTAGAAACATCAGTTGAGCTTTGCTATATTTTCTATAGCTTTAGCAAACCTTAAAACATTTCATGCTGTTTTGAAGTTTCCAGTCTGTTTTTAAGAGAATTTGCTTGGTGGAAGGCTATCAGGCAATGCATAGTGTCCAAATTGCGGCACCGTACTCGGTTTGATTTAAGGAACATAGTCCCAGAAAGCAAAGTGAAAAAAAAAAAAAGGGAAGAAGCTGAAGACATCTGTATGTAAATTTACAGACACTCTGCTTCACGTCATTGCAGACCCTTGTTTCCTGCAGGCACTGAGTAAGCCACTGTCCGGAGGGGTAGAAAAGCAGAGGTCTCAAGGTAGGGCAAACAAGGATGCAGTGTTAATCCTGCTATTCACTAGCTATGTGCCATTTCTCTGAGATTCAACTGACTAATGTGTTAAATTAGGATATCAATACATACACCACAGGGTTGCTTTGGAACAGTCCAATAATATGCATTCAGATAAATTAACACAACACATTCATAACTGCTGTAGTCCCAACCTTGGTAATTGGGTATTAGACCAATGTTGCCACTCATTCCAAATTTCCCTCACTCACTGCCAATATTTTAGTGCTCCAGTGTTCTTTTCCTGGTGATGTGGCCCAAATCTTCATTCTTGAAAGATCAATGCCTTTAAGGTTCTTGTCTTTAACACATTGACTATTGTTATCAGGCAAAGACAATGAAGAATCTCTCTAATGTATATTTTGGGTTTTAGGCACAGTATGCTTGCCCCTATGATGTGCCAGCAACCCAAGTTCTCCTTGGTAATAGAGAGAAGTCATTCCACCCAGTATAGAAAACCCATCCTCTACCCATTTCTTCAGTGGATTAATAAGCCCCAAAGACCTAGGGGATAGGTGCACATTTTAATTTATTAGATCCAGGTTTGCTTCTCCCTTCTTCACTGACCCCCCAAACAGGGCTGAGCCTTATGTTAGAGGATGGACAGAAAACTTTCTTGTAGAGGAATAAGCTACTAAAGAATAGGATTGGTGACTGATTAATCTCTAAAGAAAGCACAGTGAATAGAGGAACCTCAGTTTTTAAAACCATTTTAAAGACTATTGGATAATGTCGGTTTTAGAATGAGTTGAATGGGGAGCAGTCTCATGAGCAAGAACTGGTCTTTGGTTTCACCCTTGTATACCCATTGATTATTTTGTCTCCCATCCCACATTTGAGAGACAACCTGCCATTAGCCATGCTCATTAGTTTCAAAGCAAAGAAAGCATCCCGGCATAAGGTGCTAGAAAAACTGAAGAAAAGATTTCATCAAAGAGATGTCGGTATTTCAACAAAACAGAGAAATCCATTAAAATTATCTCTATTTTTTAAACCATGGGACATGATAAGAAACTATAAAATTTCTAACATTTCAATGAAAGGAAAAGTGTTGTGTGATAGGTACGAGAAGGCTTACATTGGGGTGCAGCCCATGGAAAACAAAGATTGGTCTTCTGATTGGGAGAACCACCTGGAAAACCTCAGAAACTGCTGTTAATGGGTTCAAGCAGATGGAACCTTGAGATGTCCTGTTCTCTGATCTGAAGGACACACTGGGATCTTCAGTGGAATAAAAAGGACTCAGGACATCCTGCAGCATAGCCTATAGCCTCTACATTGTCCTCCTGCCTGTGCAGGAGAGAAGGGAAGAGGGGATGAACAAAGTTAGTGAATTTAAAGCTCTGGCCTCCTACAAAAAAACGGACCAACATCCTTCAAGACTTTCAAGGTTGTGGAAACCAAGGAGAGACTGAGAACCTGTCACAGACCAGAAGAGGCTAAGCAGACATGATGTGGTGTCCTGCATTGGGTCCTGGATTAGAAAACAGACACTAATGGAAAAACTAGTGAAATACAAAAAAAAAATCTGGACTGCAGTTAATAGTAATGTACCATTAGTAATTCCTTAGTTTTGACAGATGTAACATGTTTATATTAACATTAAAGAAACTGGCTGAAGAATACACAGAAATTTTTAATGTTATCTTTGAAACTGTTCTGTAAATCTAAATTTCTTTCCAAATAAAAAGTTTAGTTAAAAATCCCCAAACTCTGACTATGAGTGGTCGGGGAAGCATGACATGTGTATGGGTGATGTAGAGGAGTCCAGACCGATGACTGAAGCCTGTTCTCAATCCCCTGCTGGAAAGGAAAGGGAGTACGTATGGAGATTCTAGGATGCTGCAAGTCCTTTTCTGAGTGCCTTCGTATTCTAATATAGTTCTAACAATGACCCCATGAAATAACCATTATTCCCAGTTTGCAAGTGAAGCATAAAAGGCTCAAGGAGTTAAAGTAATTTGCTTATTATCATAGTGGATAAGTGACATCTAGAAATAGATCACAGCTTTTCTACTGCATCATGCTTGATGGATGATCTCCAGGGTTAATACTGGGAGAGAGAGGGAGAGATATGACTTCATCATTATAGGTTTATTTTCAACCACCTTCATTCCCTAGGTGTAAGAATAAAATTAGAGAACTTCTCTCCTCTCTGACATGCTCCCCATGTCTCGTACACACCTCTTTGGCTACCTTGTCTGATTTCCCTTTGGCAGAATTTGGAAAGAGCTGAGGCTCATTCTCTTGAGAAATGAAAATGCCTCACTGCCTCTGTTGCTCCAGAAGGACAGAGTGTGTCCCAGTCTCTAACCATTCTCTTGGTCCCCACCTGCCTCCAGGTAATTCATGGGACTGACTATTTGGGAAGAGCAGTTCCTCAGGACTGGGCACTTCAGCATTCTTCAGGTGCCCTCTATGAAAAATTATCAGGATGTTCTTGCTGTCTAATGCTTCCTTCCAAGTCCCAGAGCTGCCTGGCCCAGGACTCAGGGGGTTCAGCAAGTTTAACTCTGAAAATC